ACGTGGAGTGCTTCGTCTCATAGTGCCGCTTTATATTGCTGCTTTTGATGAGAGCGACAGTCTCGGAGCAAATGAGACACACGGGTTTTGCGCTGTCAGCAGGTAAAACGAACAAGTACGTGTCAGTCCATTCTTGTTTAAAAACTCTGTTTTCCGCGTCTACCTTCCTCTGTTTTGAGCACGCCATTTCACTTTTCTCTCGCGTGTTCGCGCTGCTGATCACTCTCCGTCTTCGCCTGTTTCGCTGCCTGCTTCTCTCTGACTTTCCGGTGTTTAAAAATAGCTAGCACTGGCAGCAGCACTACGCGCCACACAGTTCATTGGCTGACCGAATCACGTGTGGCCCCTGGCTGAAGGGACGCCCCGCCCGGTCGGCCCTCACCAACACCAGAAGGAGCGGCGCAAAATGAAGTTAGAATAGACGCGGTTGGAAAGCCTGCATTATTATTATTAATATTTTTAAAGCAGGTTTGGGCCCGGATCGGATGGGTTGGGGGTCCGGATCCGATGGGTTGGGGGTCCGGATCCGGACCGAGGTCCGCCGTTTAACGACCTCTGTTATAGATGTTTATTACAACCGCAAAAACGTGTAACTCTCTGCCTCTTCTGTTGTATAAAACTAGCTCCCCGATTGAGAAAGGTTAGAGACCCTTGTTAAAGAACATAATATACCTGTGTTGCCCCCTGCTGGACACACGGCCCGGGGTGGAGCGAGAAGAAGCGTGTGCACCTGGGGATCTCTGTTTAGTCTTTTACAGGTAAGCGAGTTCTTATACAACACACACACGAGTTCTTATACAACACACACACACATACTATACTATACACAGCAGTAGTGACACTAATTGTAGGTGTTTGAGTTACTTTTGTTACTTTGGTTCGACTAAAAACGTCAGGAGTCACATTTCCATTGAATGTAAAATGGCGGCGGTGGGTCACAGCCATGGATGTATTATATTAACTGGATAGGGTATTACTAGCTTGTAGCTGAATAACTCACGTGCTCAGGGGATTCTCGCGGTACTGCAGACTGAACCAGACTAAATTCACGTGGGCTACCCAGAAATTTTCCCCATAGAACTCAATGCATATTAAAACAGCTCAACCTCAGCTGACAGAGAACCTACAGCTTTAATAAAGATAGTATTTTGTGGGGATTTTAGTGTCCCTTGTCATCCTGAACTTTTTTTCTTCTTAAATCCTTCGGTTTTGTTTAAATCCACACTTTAGTGGCACAAACTCTGCTCGTCTGGCTCTCGCTCTAACTCCCGCTCTGATGAACTGCTCTGATTGGTCAGAGCGCGGCCGAGCCCCTCTGTGCACGTGCGTGAGACCCGGTGTGAGACCCACACACGCGTGTTTGGCGCAACGCATTATGGGAGATCATCCACTGCGCAGAACCGGGAGGACCAGACGATGCCCAAATACAGGCGAGTTTCCCATAGATCTTTGCGAGTTTCAGGCAACTTCCGCTAATCTTTCAGCCCCCATGCTGTCACAAAGCGCCACTGAGCACAACCATTCATTTGAATAGGGCGCCATCTTGGATCGCCGGGGCTTGGTCACAGCGTGGTCAGTGGTCTATGGTCTATGGCGGTGACGTGAGAAAAACAAGGAGAATATGAGTGTTTTTGTAAGAGTTCAGAGAAACACAGGATTGATACATGTGCAAGTGTTTGTAAAAAGACTTGAAAAACGGAGTAAGGGGTTTAAGGTTCTGTGTCAAAGTCAAATACCTGTAGCTTCTGGATGACCAATGTGTAATGTACTATATCATCAGTGATCCAGAGGCGTAGACAATCGAGTCTGTATTCTCCACATATCTCCACATACATCTGATATATATCATATATCCGGGTGGGCAGCATTGTAACTTATTACTGTAATATATTTCTATTTGACATAACTCTGTAGTGTAGCCATGTTATTATGATAGATCCATGAGTGTAGCTCATTACAACAAATGGTAACTTGCCCAACAAAGTATCTGGGTAGTTCGTAAAGTAATGAATAGTGATAATAAAATATTGTTTGTGACCTAAGGAGTGTTACACTGTCGAATATACAACGGTAGTACGAATACTTTTACTATGTCAAATACACAACTGTAGTAAGTACTTTGATACTGTTGAGTAGATGATTGTAGTAGGAGTACTATTACAATGTCAAATACACAACTGTAGCACTGTATTTTCCGGACTATAAGCCGCAGGCTCCACTTTTTAGAAATAAATTTAATTTTGTACTTGTACAAACTGCTCTGGATTATAAGGCGCACCTATCCCACTGTAATATTGAAAAATGTTGCTCAAAATTTTGTATCATATCTTCTTATCAGTTATAAGAGTGAGAAGTGAGTCACTGACTGTTTTTATCTTCCAGTGTGAAGCAGAAAGATAAGGAGCAACATCTACCGGTCTCTTTTTACTTTTATATCGATACAAAGAACCAAAAAACTATTTCTTATACGAGAGAAGTACACAAAGATAATTTAAGTGAGGACGTTTAAACTTTCTTTAATCTGCTTTATTGACAAATCTCACAATTTAAATGGACCTCTGTGAGCTACTCATAAATTCTGTTTGTCTACTGTTACTACAATGTATTTAGCAAAACAGAAGAAAAAAAAATTAAGCCGCACCCCACTATAAACCGTGGCTTATGGTCCGAAAAATACTTTTATACTGTTGAGTAGATGACTAGTAAGAGTTCTGTTACACTGTCAAATATACAACAGTTGAGATATATAGAACATATTGAGATATATACTAGATGAACATTGCTCAACTTCTTTGGACGGTGTGCGGCATCCAATCGGAGAACACAGTAGTGCTCGAAGTGAGCTACCATCAAAGCCTGCCCACTGCCCCTTTCCGCTGTACTTTTTCCACAACGCTGTGGTAGTAAGTGCATTGGTTTCACTAAACTCACACCCCTGATATCTAATTAACACACTTCCAAAATGCAACACCATGTGATGACGGTGGAAACGGTGCTTTACACTATCAATATACAACTGTGGTAAGAGCTGAGTCCTTTAGAGATTATCGGTACGATCCGTACCTCGGCTGTACGATATGTACCTGTATTTACAAATTTCCTGGTATTCAATCCAAATAAAACTAGGTTTTAACAGTCCCTGGACCAATATTTCTTAAAGACAAGACAATAGCTGTACATAAATGGCTCTCATTTTAGATTGTATATTGAACTTTTATTAGTTACAACATTAAATTTAACCTGACACAAATGAATTGTGCTTTTTAAGCCACTTGAAATGATAGCTCTGTAGGTTGATGTAGTCCATCAACGGTCGTGTAAGAACATAAACGTGTCTGTGCATGTCTCTTTTTGGAGAGTTGTCTATCCAATCTATCCAGGGGTTGACTTACAAGATTCAATATAAAGGGTTAGGGTTTTTTGTCTTCAATCTGACACAATGCACCCTTCCCTCTCCACAAACCTGACTTACTTAACCATAGAGGACCTTTTGGTTTTTTCATGGAAAATTTGTTCTAAACTGCATCACAACGTATGATCACAACATAAAACCTATTCTTTTACAATGTGCTGAGAATTACTTTCTATTTCCATAGAATCAGATGAGAATCTTCCACCTTAATCCCGTTTTGTTTGAGTGATAAAGAAATGCTTGTTTATTTGTAAATGTATTAGACTATGACCACATCCTTTAGTATATTGTGTACACATAAACTTCATATTCTATCTGTATTTTCTAAACTCCTGCAACGTTAACTGTGTAACCTGCATGTGAACATCGTAACCGAATATATCTAAACAAATGAATCTATGTGTTTTAAACGAGCGAAGCGCATATAGCGCTGATGCGGTGACAATTCTGTCCGAAAGGTGGCGACATTTCGTTGCCAAACGGAGAGAGACGCGCGGCTCTGTCCCGGGCTCCTGTGCTCCTGTAGTGCAGCCTGCAGCCCACTGTACACGCGCTTTGTTTGTTCTGATGCAGGAGGAGGACAAAAGACTAAAGACAAAAGGCGCTTTACGCACGCGGGCGAACCGGACACATGCACGTCAAACATGTGGACTGACGTTTTCAAGGATGGGACACTTTGCATTTCTTTTCATGAAAATTAATGAGCTCCTCGTTAATGAATGAACAAATGGGTTTTAACGAGGTAAATTGGGTGAACAGAAGTAATCCATGGTTTGGTGTTTACGTGACGCACGCCAGATGAGCAGAAACGTCCAAACGGAACCAAAGCTTTTTTCACACGAGCAACAGCGGACAGTGGATATAAAGTGTTTATTGTGATGAATGTTTACGCGGAGTGACTGATGTGATGTGGACAGGGACGTGTACCGGGACACGTGCACGCGACTCCGCACGCACTGACGCGTGTCCTTTGTGCGCATAGAAACTTGTGTATAAAAGAGCGCACAAACAGCGCTGATTCCTTTGGACACTTGACAAACTTTCTTTCCATCCCGTTATGCTAATGAGGTCCCAGAGCTGCTCGCTCATTGGCTGAGCTGCGCTCAATTTCATATTTCAGTGGTGACGTCAGGCTGCCTATAAAACTAAGCAATGCTTTTTAACTCGTCCGCTGACTGATCTCTTAGAAAAAATCTATCAATCCTTGGGTGGAGTTTTTCCCATTCACCACGCGGCAGTGTTTGCCCTGGACACTCCGTGAAGCTGCTCATTTGGCGCACTAATCCTAAAAGGAGGCATGAAGTGTTAAATGGTCGAAACAGAGAGCAGAGCGCTCAGACACCTGCACGCTGGGAGAGAGGGAGGAAAGAGCGGCGCTCCAATGCGTCTGTGCAACACAGACTGAAGAAAAAAAAACTTATCGACTCGCAAAAGCAACCTGCGCTGCGCAATTAGTGTGAGAAAACACACTTTTCCTTCGGTTTTGAAGAAAATAAATAAAGAAATCAAGCTGGCTCAGTGCGTGTCTCAGCAGCCTACTTTGACAGGTGCTCCTCACCCCCTTTGGAGGACTGTCAACAGCAAGAGGATGGCATCAGAGCTGGCAATGAGCAACTCCGACCTGCCCACCAGTCCCCTGGCCATGGAATATGTTAATGACTTCGATCTGATGAAGTTTGAAGTGAAAAAGGAGCCGGTGGAGCCCGATCGCAGCATCAGCCAGTGCAGCCGCCTGGTCGCCGGGGGATCCCTGTCTTCCACCCCGATGAGCACGCCTTGCAGCTCGGTTCCGCCCTCTCCAAGTTTCTCCGCGCCCAGCCCGGGCTCCGGGAGCGAGCAGAAGACGCACCTGGAGGACTTCTACTGGATGAGCGGCTACCAACAGCAGCTCAACCCCGAGGCTCTGGGCTTCAGCCCGGAGGACGCCGTCGAGGCGCTCATCAGCAGCACGCACCAGCTCCAGTCCTTCGATGGCTACAGCAGGGGGCAGCAGTTTGGAGCGGGGGCCGGCCCGGGGGGCGCCATGGCCGGGGAGGAGATGGGCTCAGCGGCCGCTGTGGTGTCCGCAGTTATAGCGGCTGCAGCGGCTCAGAACGGGACTCCTCATCATCACCACCACCATCACCACCACCACCCCAGCGCGCACCACCCTGTGTCCGGGACGCAGCCCGGGGCAGCAGCGGGCAGCCACGCGCACAGCCTGCGCCTGGATGACCGCTTCTCGGACGAGCAGCTCGTAACCATGTCGGTGCGGGAGTTGAACCGGCAGCTGCGCGGCGTGAGCAAAGAGGAGGTGATCCGACTGAAACAGAAGAGGAGGACGCTAAAGAACAGGGGCTACGCACAGTCCTGCCGCTTCAAGCGCGTCCAGCAGCGGCACGTGCTGGAGGGGGAGAAGACGCAGCTGCAGCAGCAGGTGGACCACCTCAAAGCCGAGATCTCACGGCTGGCGCGGGAGCGGGACGTCTACAAGGAGAAGTACGAGAAGCTCATCAGCACCGGCTTCAGAGACAGCGGCTCTGGCGGCGACAACAACCCGTCCTCCCCGGAGTTTTTCATGTGAGTGCCCCGTGCACACTGTACATAAGGGACTTACCAGGTTTGGTGTCTGACTCAGGGCTCTTCTCACACGCGTTATACGCAGAGTAGCGAGTGGATCCTGGAGTTTCACAAGTTACACAAAAGTTATCCAAATGATTCACGTATGTTATTTTGTGCAGCTGACACTGGCATTAGTGGCAATGAGTGTTTGTCCTGTTCGTGCGTCATGACACTTCGACAAAAGTCTATTGTAAATGAAATCTCCCTCTGGAGAGGCTTTTATTGAACATTCCTCGTCTTGGATTGTGTTTGTGTTGAGTGAAAGATGAATCATCCCATGTCATCAACCATAGTGTCCCACGGGCTGCGAGATGTGGGACTGGAGCCATGCGGGTCATGTGCGTCCACTCCGCTTTGCCCCGTCCGCGCGTAACCACTACTACATCACTTTTCTGATTTTGTTTATACACGTTGTAATGCTAAATCTCCATGTCACACTCTCATGGACTCTGACCGTGCATCCACTCTGAATGAACTGAAACACACCTCTCCCATTTCCAACGGAACAATATTCAACAAGTGGTTTTCAGCCAATTCTAATCTGATCCTGTTCCATGTGCATGTCTTTGAGAAGAGACTGGTTATCATGAAGACTGTTGTAACAATTGCACTCTCACTGTTTGACTGTCTGACCGTGTGCCTGTGTGAGCATAATGAACCCGAGCACCTCTTCTGCATCCTGCCTGTCACGCACCAGCTCCACACGCTGCATCGTGATACTGAATGATTCTGGCATTCGAGAATAAACGAGTCTGAATAGAAACCTCTATTCAACTGTTGCATTTTGTTCCTTTTCACATTTATTTTGCATGTCTTTGTATGTGTCCTCAGAGCATATTTTAATCAGAAATATGAAATCACAAAGGACGTGATGAAATGAAAAGGAATTTAAAGTTAAGACTAGATTAAAATGATACTTTCATCTTGCAATACAATCATAATTTAGACACTTTTGGATTATAGTTTTTTTTTTAATCTAAAAATTAAAAATAGACTTGATTTAGTGCTTCGCACAATTACGCACATTTAGAACACGTTGTCTTAAACACAACGTTTTCAACCATAGTTATGTGAGCAGCTGTCCAAAGCTAATAATTAATGATTGATTTTTGAGCAAACACACACTTTTCCCTTCGCAGACAGCGGAGGCCACTTGTTGCAGCCTGGAAGAAGTTGAATTTGAAATAATAATAAAAATATACTCCAGCACAGGCTCATACTGCGATAGAAGACCTGTGTTTATTTTTACACATTATATTATTATTGTTTTATTAAAGCAAAACAAAATCCTGCCATCCTCTTGCGTTTCATAATTTGTAAATACATTTCCTGAGGGAAAAACAAGCCCGCTTCCATATCACACCCCTGTGCTGCTGTTACAAACTTCCACCCATCTTTTCAAAACGAAAATTAATCGCCCATTAAATCGATACGCACGTGCCAGTCATCTGTCAGAGCGCAACGCCTCAAAATGCGTAACACCACTTGCTTTCGGCCTTTTGCCATAATATTTGTTATCCTAATAGTAAACGCGTTCAGCCCTGAGTCAGTGTCACCGCGTTAAAAGAAAAGTAAAATTTATAAACGCCTTGTTTTTTCCTTCACATGTTTCAGAATCAAACAGCCTGCGTGGTTGAATGGTAAGTTCAAGGGTGGGAATAGAATCTCGCTTGCTGCTGACGTTTTGGGCCACCTTTTTGGATGATTTTGTGCAGATCTTTTCACCTTGTTCTGCATGTAATTCATATGAGCAAGTGAGAACCCCCCGCGTATTTGTAAACTTGAATTAAGCATCAACATTGTGCCTAAAAGTGAGACAAATCAACCTAGAGAGACATTTCCCCATCTGCCCACTTTCTCTTTTTGACATCTCGAATTCTTGCACTCCTTGGAGCGAGCGCGCAATTCCAAGCAACCTACACTCTAAAGTACTCTTTTGCATTACGCACAGCACTATTCGCGTTTGCCATGGCTCCATCCACGTCCGTCTGCAGATACAAGATCAGCGAGACGTCATAGGTGCGCTCTCTGGTGCCTGCACAGGGCGATTTCCCCCCCGATAAAAGGCGAACGCTCACGGGAGGACAGCGATGGGACTAGACAAGGATAGTGCGCGGATAGATAAGTGACCGTCCCGCCTGTTTGCTGCTTTGGGATGATAAACGATCCGAGCAGGACAAGAAGGGGCCCTTTTACTGAGCACGTGTCCACTAATTTATGGCCCCTGCTATCTGATTATGGGTCAATATAGCGCACTGTTTAATCGTATTTGTGTTCTAACCTCGGGCTGGAGATGCCATTCCTCTTATTTGCTTTGGCACATATGGTTTGTGCGTTGTGCAGCCAGGGACACGGTCTAAGTTGTGACAGCTTTTGAGAATTAATTCAAACTATATGCTTTATTTGTTGTGATGTGTGTGTGTGAGTGTGTGTTCTGTTGTGTGTGTGTGTGTGTGTTAAGGACAGCCATTCAAATATGCCCTCATACTGTCAAATCAATGCATTTTACCTTCAATACATATATCAATATTCATAGTTGTACCCAATCCAATCCAGTTCAGTTCAGCCTTCTTTTTTACGTTGAAAGAAAAAAAAGCCAAGTGCTTGAGAATCTCTAGTCCATGGTTGGGAAATGCAAGCTCAAATTAACACAGGATGCTTGAGATGAAGGAAAGGCAGTTTTATGTAGGTAAAATAAAAAAATGCGTTAGTCTAACATGTTGCATTCTTAAATCGGTTTTGCTAAGGATTCCAATGTATTAATTCACACGCTCTTTTATAGACACAATATTGGATTTTGAGACATGTTGCACGTCTGAATGCACATCGATCACATTAGTATGAGGCATTATTCGGGCTTTTAACACACAAAATCACAAGCTAATTGAATGGAATTATCCCATATCTATGTTTCAGTTGTAAAAATCTCTTGAATCATTTCATCCCATGCGGTTTTTGGCACACATTAGTCTCAGTGTTGCAAGCGTTCACACATATTTCACACAATAATCACATTTGTGTTTCTCCCAGTCACTTTTTTGCACCTTTTAACGATGCAAACAGCATAAAAAAGTACAAAGTTAACTGCTTATTTCAAAGTCATGCACCATTCCAATGCGTTTATTTAGTGATTTCTCCAAATCTGTGCGAACAAGTGCCTAAACTCACACAGTCGATCAGCCTCAATGCAGTGTTTTCGAAGTACGCAAAACCCATTTCATACACACTTCTGCAAAACTTGTCAATCACTCCTTCAAAAAGCCAAGGCCCCTTCACGTCACGTCCTTAAGCCTTTGTACTTCCAGCCTTAATGCACTCCCCATGTTATTAATCATATCCGCGTAACCCCATCCGCACATCGACTGGGCCGCGCTGATCACCGCTGCGTTCGTCTGGTGATTAGGTTATTAAAGATAATGCAGTTGTCCCTTGTCACAATATTGGTCTCTTCCCTTTCAGGTCAACTATGGGAAATCACTTTGAAACGTATCGGCATTGGCAGATGAATCAACACAGCAGCAGCACCAGCAGCACCAGCAACAGCAGCAGCAAAGAGAGGTCTTTTAATGCCGTCCGGTCTGAGTGAGTGGGAGAGAAGCGTGTGTGCGTCAATAAGTAGCGGGCATTGTCTCCTGCGCGACCTTGGCAGAAAGGAGTGGATGCATATGTGGTGGAGGAATGCAGCGTTAGAGGCTTTGGGAGCGATAACAATTGGAGCTAGAGGTTGCTCAGTTTTGTGTCTGTCTTTGTGCTTGAGCAAAAGGTTGAAGAGGTTTTTACCCGACAGTACTTTCATTCAAAACTAGAATTTTTTCAATCATTAAGTCGTAAACACGGCTTCAAAATGGAGGAAATCATTGATACAAATCTGAACACTTTCGGCAATCTTTGACGTTTTGCTGTCAGAAATGCTGCTGCAAGTTGTCAAAGCTCTTTAGTTTTATCGTCTGCTCAGGCCAGTTCCTGACGATGACCAGCCAAATATTGTGAATTGTATTGTTGGCGAAAGTGTAGTACTAGTGTATTGTAGTGTCTCCAGTTCTTGCTGCTGACATTCTCGATATAATGGTGTACGTTTTAGGTTTCCAGGAAAAGCTTGTGGTCTTATGCCATATAAAAAAATTAGGTTAGTTTAAGTGTAGCCTGCTTCACATATGTCTTCACATCAGACTTCACACAAAAGTCTGTAAACATAGGTGTGTTAATTGTGTTGAGATGTGGAAGGATAAACTTGTGACAACTTTCATTATTGGATAGAAAGATGGATTGATACTTTTGAGTCTCATTTAAGAGAAATGTCTGGCTAATATAAAAAGCTTTTCTTTCGCTCTTTTCCCCTGTGCTTAGCAGGGAAGCAAGTGAAGGCATATTAGATTAGAAGTACGGACACAAACTAAGTACAGGTGGTCGCCCTAAACAAATGATTTCAAATGCACCACTTTGCATAATTATAATAGGACGCATTATGCAAAGAGAGATTGTGTCAATGTTGTAATGTTTTTTTTTTCTATTTTTCTGCTTTTACCTTATAAAGATAATGTTATTTTGTGGATATAGTCGTGTCCATGTCAGGCATTTAGGCACAAATAACGCAAATCTACCACTTGCAGCTTTGCCCATGCTGCTAGTCATATCTAATGTCATATCTGATAAAGTACAGTAGACTTCTATTATTTCGATAAAATTGCAAAATCAAATTGCACAATGCGACAAAAGCGCGTAGTGTTTTTCAAAGCCTAAACATATGTTAATAAAAGATGATATTCACCCTCTATACCGTAATTTCAAAAGGATTCCGTTTTAAATCCCCAACCTCCTCTTTCCTCCCGTGCTGCTTTCCTCCCTCATGTCCCAAACCACACGTCCCCATAAGGGTTAAAAAACAGGCGCGCTCTCACACACACACTCTCTCTCTCTCTCTCTCTCTCACACACACACACACTCTCACACACTATCCACATT